ATGAAGTTAGGTACGCTTCCGCTTTTATTCGGTTTGATTCTCAATTATTCGATATGAATGCTCCTGGGGTAAAGCGGTTTTCGCATAAAGTTAAAATTTCCAACATCTCATTTATAAACTTTACATTTGATAAATTTGTTAGTACGTTAAGATTCAAGATCATCATCATTGTAATTATTATCGAAAAAAAAAAAAATAAGAGACGAACCTTGCGACGACCATGGAGAAAGTGCAGAACCAGAATTACCGATTGACGTGGCAGAAAAATCAGGCCCTGTCTTGAATTCATTCATCTGCATTTCACAAGTATGTTAATTAGTACAAAACAAAATTAATTATAGAAATAAATATTATAGATTGTATGGGGAGAAAAATAATATTAAGCATAATCATTTATAATACTATAATATAAACATACCCAACTGGGTGCACTCCCTGATTGGCCATCCCACCCAATATGTGCCACATGCTTAACATCTGTTGGATATCCAATCTCTATTTCACGTTCCTTCACAACTGAAAAATGTAAAAGAATTTGGAAAAAACACAAAATGTCAAATTAATTTGGAGGATTTAATAAAAATAAAATGTTGGAAATTATTACACATAATAAAATGGTACCAAAGATTTGAGATAGGGTGTATTTGAATCCTTTGTAGATCCCTTTCATTGTTGTTCCCATTATTGTTGATGTATTGAAGATATTTGGATATGAAGAAAAATGTAGAAGAAAGCACCACAAAATTGTCCAGAAAAACGAACCCTTTGCCTGTCACAAAAACAAATTCAATTTAGAAGCTATTTTAAATCATTAGAATCAAACATAATAAAACATATTTTCTTACATATTTTTTCGGTGAAAAGTTGTTACATTGAAAGGGATTGAGTCAATAAATAAAATACCTTTTCAGACAAGAACTCGTAGCAACACAACAAGGCAAAGGATTGAATAGAGAAGCTTGTTGTTCTTCTCTTCTCCTTGGTGATATTCCCATACGTATCTTCAAACAATATTGTTGGTGAACATAATTTGGATTAAGCATGCAAGAAAAAAATCGAATAGGATGGATTAAGGGGCTCCCTTTGCCAATCAATGAACCAAGAAAATAAGAAATCAAAAGAGAAAAACTTAAAAAATGAATTATTTTGGGTGTAAAATGGGAAAAAAAATAAAAAGAAAATGTGGGTTGCCTTTTTTAGGAGAGAGAATAAACCAAATCAATGTAGAGAGAGAGAGAGAGAAAGAGAGAGAGAGAGATTGTGTGTTGGAGGGCCACGAAAGAAAATCTCCCAAAAAGAGGGTGAGAGGTGGATTTGAAGGACATGGCAAGATGAACTTTCAAAAATTCAACGAAATTATTTTAAAAGTGTACAATATAATTATTATAGTAATAATATTTGATGAAATTGGATAGTGATTAAATGAATAATGCTTGGAATTCAGATAAAATATTTGGAGGGTTGATTCTGGCCAATCTACGTCATCAATATTTTCATCGATAGATCGACTACTATCCACTTTAGATATACATAAAATAAATAATAATTAAATGAAAAAAATACTATTACACGAATAAATAAAGTAATTATATAATATTATTAACATTATTAATATTTGTTATTACGATTATTAGTTAGTAAAATTCAAAATTATGTAAGGATTTAAAACTCAACCAGTATAACAATCGTATATTACACTATTATCAAACTAAAAAGTATATATGTAGCTTTTTAAATATAGATATAAAATTTTATTTTATTTGTTTTTAAATCATTTTATCTATTATATTTAAAATTAAATTATTCTTACAACACTTGCCATTAGAAAAACCAAAAGTCAAATATGTGTCGTTTAGATTGTTGTCTCATTTAGAGCAATCTTATTCTAATTTAATGAAATTTTAAATTTGTAAGAACTTGTGGGGTCTCAGATTTGGATTTGTGGGATATATAAAGTGACCAAATTTTTCCTTGACTGGTTTAAAGGGTACTTCAATTTTTAGTTGAAACAAAATTACGTAAATTATGTGAATTCATTAGTGATGATTAGTTTAATTGCTCAAATAAGATTACATCTTTAATAAAACATTAACAGTTAATCACCACCAACCCCAACACCGACGTTATCCTAACACCAACACTGACGTTATCCTCTCTAACTTTTTTTAGTAGAGATAATTCTTTAGTTTCACGCCATGTGTGATTCCCTCATATATAATTCTTATTAAATGCATTGAGTTTAACTTACATACTCACACACTTCATAATTCTATATGGCACTTCATAATTCTATATGGCAGAAGGCTTGGATATAAATTAACATTTTTATACAAAAATAATTGGATTCTGTTATGTTAGAGACTTAGATTTTGTTTGAACCGGCTGAGATGAGCTCTGATCGTCCCTGAGTCGCCAACTACCTGCAAAACAAGTGTCTGGGAGATTCCCGGCGTGAGCACTCTGACACTCAAATAAGTACCGATGTACTAAAAATCAGCCTAGGCGGGTAGGCGCCACCCGGTCGCCTCTGATTTACATGAATCGGCTGAAAAAATGTGTGTCAGGGGGACTCGGCGGCAACTTTTTAGTTTTTTCTTAAATACTAATTACATTATTTTGTTATCATATTTTCTTTACAATATATTAATATTATTATTTGAATGTAGGTGTGTGGATTTATTATAAGTTGAGATAATTTTATTTTGTAGGTAGTTAAAATAAATAAAAATAAGGTATTTAATATTAATTTCTAAGCTCTGCCTAGGCGCTAGGAGCTAGCCTATCGGGCGACGCATAGCGACTTCTAGAACATTGGTCAGTACATGGGGGAAGAATATGATATAATATGCTTTGTATGTATAAAATTATATATGCCCCGTTTGGTAGATAGCGGATTGAAGATAAATTAGCGGATTTGACTTAATTGAGAGGTTTGACCCGTCAAATCCGCTATTGAGCTTGTTTGATAAATAGCTTATTTGATAAGCTTTATGGGCCTAAAACTCTAATTTAGAAAAAGCTCAATAGAGGAGCTTTTTGGGATAGAGGATTCACAATTGAGAGGTTTTTTTAACAATTGAGAGGTTTTACTTGGAACTTTTTAATTTGTCTTATTTATTTTACAATCTACATTGGTTTATAGAGCTAATAAATAATAATATGTCATCCATATGATTAATTTATCTAAAAAAATGTAAAATTTATAACTTCTTCATCATCAAGTGTTAGTAAATTTTAATATATATATATATATATATATATTTATAAATTACAACTAAAGAATATTAAATGTTTTAATATATTATTACTAAAAGAATACACCCTAAATAATAAAATGTCCTTATTGGTCATTTTGCAATGTCAAACAGCTATAAGCTTTCAGCTATTTACCAAAAACTTATTTAAAAACCGCTAATGCAATCCGCTGGTCAACTCAGCTAATATACTCCGCTATTCGCTATCCGCTATCCGCTGATACAATCCGCTATCCGCTATCTGCTATCCGTTGATCGCCGAACAAGGCCATAGATTGTATAGCGAATGTAGAGAGTTTGCAGTTGTACCTCAGTCCCCTTTATAGGGAAATACCTTGGTGTCCAAGATTTAGTTGTCCGGGTTGCCCAACTGCCCCGATCAGCCTACCCGTAATTGTTTAGCTGCCTGAGATTTAACCTCATCTTGCTCTCATCCTTAATATTATTAGATTCTTTCTTATACTTATTAGCTTTCCCTCTATCCTCATTAGGTCTTCCTCTTCTCGGGCTTCCAAGTGTCCACAGGTGCCCAAGTATCACCATGTCGCATTCCCTTAGGTCGTCCTAATGAGAGTGCCCACATGTTCTCAAGTTAGATATATTATCTAGTCCCCTCGTCTTGTAGGTCATCATGTTAGAGGTCGATATGCCTCAGTGGTTTAGGTCACTCCTTTGACTTACACCAAGTTTCCTTGATTTGGGTCGTGCATTCCTTATCAGGTCGTCCTCCCAGCCTTAAGTCGACTTGTTCCCGCTTTCCTATTATATATGCATTCTCCATAAATCGACCTGGCCCCTATTTCAACCGGTCGACTTGTTTTACTTAATACGATTCAGTTTAGCCGAGCTATGGCGATATCATTTAGTCCCCCTCCCCCTCAAACCTACTCCATGCGACCTCGAGCTATGGAGTAAGGTCAATGGTCAAGATACGAAAAGACGCTCTTGACATGTCAATAATAAATGCAGAACTAAAAGTACGGTTTGTCGTCTTGTGAGATGTGTCCTCGATTTTTGTGCTCAATTTGATCCGTTGATGCGCTCATGATCAAAGGGCATGAATTCCCCCAGGTCAAGTATAAATACTGAATAGTGAATACACCTACCTTTCATAAGAAAACACGTTTGGCCTTCTTGTGATTTAGCTCCCTTACTTTGCACACATGCAATCTCGGTTTCTCAATCTCCGGCGTACGATCTCCATCCTCAGTCGTCGTTCTTCAATTCCGACAACTCCTTGCTAGATTCCGTTCATCAACTCCAAATAATGATGAGTAAGTCCACATTCATTTTGCTTTGTCATTTTCAATCTTGTTCTTGTTGTTCTTCTTTCTTTTTCTTCTTTTTTTTTTTAGTGTTTGATCGGAAGTTTTTCATTGGTGCGAGATATTCATCCATCACATTCCAACACAAATATCCAATCACATTTGCATGGACATAGCAGAGTAAACACAAATGTTGTTATGGGAAAGAATAACAGATTAAATGAGTCGATTCATCTACAATTGCTGCCTGAAGAAGAAAATTTCAAATACGCTTTGAACAAAAAATGATACGTATATCTAGCAGATGATCATATACCAATACATTCATGTCAGTAAACACAACAAATTCCTCAACAGCTTTCAACTGTCCCAATCAATAATGTGTCTGATAATCAAAATCAATACAAGGTTAACAGCAAAGAACATGGACAATTTATCCCCCTGTATGCTCTTCATAGCCAACAACATTCCCAAAAATCAATCTCAGGACCCAAAAAGTTGTAAACCTTTCTCTGCATAGTCAAATCACAGATCCCCAGAAACAAACGCAAGGTTTGCCCATAGAAAGAAAAAGAGACAAATAGCCCAAGCCGTGATTCCAGATTCCCTCATGAACCCATTATCCAAAATAGACACGACATAGTGAAACTTGCCGAGTTATCGAAGCCCTTTCACATGAATTCTTTCTTAACGTTTTGCCCAATTCACAGTGTAACAAAGCAGAGAGCAATATAACTTCTCTGTCACATGCATACACATAACTGTGTAACTTGCAAGAAACAACCAACGAAAAGATGATTATGAATGCGACACATCTTATCCACCCTCATCATTTGATAATATAAAGAACAATAACACAACGTTTAAGCTAATCACCACAGCAAAAGAATCGCAACAAAATGATCAATCTAGTTTCAAGCTCGAGTTATAATCCTTATTACTATCACAATCTCAAACTAGCAAAATAATACTAATATACCTAAAGGCATAAGAAAATCACCGAAACCTGGAAGGCCAGTAGAAGCGCACGCCATACCCGGTTTTCCAATGATCCAAGAAAACGACCTCCCTCACGGCCCAAACCGACACAAACAGGGCAAGAATTGTCAGCAACCGCTGTACGGCCCGATTTTTAACCAAAACCAGCCCGTGAACCACAAACGCAAGCAAAAGCCCAACCACAGTGTAAAGAAACCCCACCGCAAATCCCTCGGCCCCCAACTGCATACCGGAGCCCTTGTAAAAGAACACCAGTTTATCAGGATTATTCCGGTCAACCAGAAACAGCGGCATTTTCCTGATCACGTTGAACATCGTGCCCGACACGCTGAAGAAGTAGACGAAGATGGCCCCGGCCATCCATGTGCTCTTCTCGTGGAAAATCGTGTTACCGGAAATTAACTTTTTTATGAAGAAGGGCGTCCATATGAGGATGGCTGCGATTACGATGAGGATCTGCGTTTTTGAGATGATTGGTGGGCGGCCGATGGGGCCCACAGGGAGGTTGGTCCTGGAGGAGATGAAATCGGCCATGGACTCGGCGAGCCTGGAGAAATCGGAGGCGTCCATGGCGAGGGAGTCGGATTTCGGATCGGCGGCGAAGGGGGAGAGCAGGCGGACGTGCGGGAGGGAATTGACGTCGAATAGGGCGAAGGAGGCCTGGGACTCGTCGAAATCGATCTCGAAGAAGAAGATTAAGGTTTTTTGGGCGGGGTTGTTTGAGAGGAAGGCGGAGGAGACGAGGGCGAATTCGGATTTGAGGGTGGGGAGTTGGAGGTCCGGCTTGGAGTGGAGCTTTCTGGCGTCGAAGAAGATGACGGCGTGG